ATTCAGATATTTTAATTACTAACAATGTTATGGTGCTCCATGTTCTGTTATACTGGCTCTGTTTTCAGCATCAATAGTTGTATTTATTTATTTATTTATTTATTTATTTTCAATAGACATGTTTTATTAAAATACTTTAGCAAGGTAGGTGAGTGTATCCTTTTTCTTCCACTGCCTCTGGAAATGACAGTATTCTCTGGAGAAGAATTCAGTGCTGGCAGCCTGTGGAACAGTGATTTCCAGTGATGGGCTTGTCCATGGAAGAGGATCTTATATCATTCGCAGGTGATTTGATGAGAAGGAATAATTTCAGATAGGTAAAAAAAAAAATCCATACAAAAACTTAATGGGAGAGGACATGGGATAACTGAGGTATTCTAGTTCTTGTAATGAAATTGAATCTCTCAAGCAGTCACAAGTATAATTCTCTACAAACTTGTTCACACAAAGCATTAACTGTTCTTGGAAGATCTGATTTTCACCCTGTGTTCATTAGGTAAGGTTTCTAAAAGCAGTCAGCTCTAGCCTGCCTGTGGCCCCAATAACTTTGGTGAACATTCACCCATGAGTTCAATGGGGAAGGAATCAAATCAATTGTTAGTGCTTTTCAAAGTCCCATCATTTAGCTTTTCAAATAAAATGTACCAATCCAAAGTAAGATAAAATGAGAAAAGTCGAGAAATATCAATGCCAGCTGTCTCTTTACTTAAGAACAACTATAAAACAATAGTTAAGCATGGCTGAACAATAGAACACAACTAATTTCATTGTTATGCTTCCAAAATATTACAGTAAGGGAAAAAACATTTAAATTATGAAAAAATCTTTGTGGCACTATCCATTAAAATATGCCAAATGGAAAGATGGATGGATACTTTACTGGAGCATTTTTTTTATTATTATTATTTATAAACACACAAAGCCAGTAGCAGCATAGTTCATTCTAAAAGGGTACTTCATTATTGTAAAATGTAGAGCTCCTTGATATTTTTCCTGCATTAAGTAGCAATATGTCAAAACCCACATATTTAATTTGCTTCTCTTTCTGTCAAAAGACCATGGCATACCCTAAAGAACAAATATTTGAATAGTCTTAAAATCCTGTCAGTGAGCCTTGGGTATCCACCTGTTGTACAGATAATATACATACAAAAACGACTGCCATTTATTACCAATGCTAACAAAATAATCAAGACTTGTGTGTATGCATAATATAGTCACACACTGTTTACATATGTATATGCGTATACAAGTATATATATATATTAGTTGTATATCAATATACATATAAATGTCTGCTTAAATATTTACAAACAATTCGCATATGCTTTAGACTCATTCTTTATATTGCTTTCATCTGACTGAAAGGGCATTTGGAAACAATGGGAACATATGGAAATAAAATATCTGTTTTAAGACCAAATATTTTTACTTGTGTTGAATAAGATATGAGAAGTATTCCTTCTGTGGTATAAAGTACTGGTATAAAGTGAAGGAAGGTCACAATGCAACATTTTGTATTTACTCATGCTGTTGGATTTAGGTTTGCCATTTCTTTACTCGCAGCAGTGATAATGTTATGTTAGAACTAAATCTGGGACTTGATTGATTCATGTAGTTGCAAAGTCCACCACATGTTTATTTTCCAGAACTAGGGTTACCCTTTGATTTACACAGACTGGGAACAAGCACTAACCTCTACTGTGTAGGAATTAGGAAGAAAGATCTTTGAGGTCTTCCATTTACAAGTATCTTATGCTGTTTCGTTTATGAGCTTAAATATGACTTTTCAAAATAGATTGCCAACGCCACTCTGTATACAAATAGTGCTTAAACTTAGAAAAAAATATTTGCTACATAAGGCTGATGTGACACTGCATATTTTACTCACCCTGTTGAGATCCAGTAACATGGATCTCCAAAGTGTGAATGATTTTATGCATGAGGGGTGCGCAGTCATTCACCCTAATGCACCTTGGAGAAGAAAAAGGAAGAATAGAATTTCAAACTTAGCTCTGCATACCTCGCCTGAAAAGTCTGAAGTTTAACTGCAAACTCTCCCACACTTCTCTGTTATACCTACATTAGTTTCAAATTCTGAGTTCCTGTCAAAAAATCTGGAGATATTGACACTTCAGAGGTTCAAGCCCATACTTTAAGTTTCCGTCTTGTATCAATGTCCAACACATGTACCCACACAGCTACACAAGCAAAAATCAAAATAATGTCTGAAAAGCATTAACCCACTTTATCTAGGAAAATGCCAAATTGCATAGATGATTATTCTATGTACAAGTAAGAATATGAAATTAAGGCCCTTCTGGTAAAGATCATGTACATAAGCTTTCAACTGAATTCTCTGTGAGGTTGATGCTGAGGTCCTGATGCTGGCTAGCCCTACTCCTCAATTTTAGCCTAAAGTAAGTGCTAGATGAATGGGGCAGACCTTCTTTTACTTGAAAGATCCTGATACTGTAAACACTTGAGGAGGTAAGCAGTTTCACATACATGGATCATCTACAGGATCAGAAACTCTCAGAAGACCCAAAAAAAAACCCAACAAAAGTCACCGTGTAAAAGGATATGATGGATATTGTGATTCCTCTGGATATATTCACATGAGAACACTTATTCTTAATGCAAAATATTTAAAATTAAGAAATAAAAGTGTATATTACTAGCTGCTCAATTATAAATACTATCAGACACATTCTAGTTCTTTCTCAGAGCAAAATATGGTTAAAATAACTGTTAATTTCAATGGCATGGTGGCATTAAAACATATGGAAAAATAATACATTCAATATATATTATTATTTATATATTAATACTACATTGCAATGAGAGAATGCAGAATACCACAACTTGTTTCCTAAAAAATATTATAGCACTAGTAGTTTATACCTGTATAAAATGGGAGTAAATTCACTGATACACCAAGTAACAGAAGATTCTTAGTTCACTGTCTTTTTCCTAACCTAACATCCTCTTTTTGATTTACAAGCAGTTCAGTGAGGTATCTGGTCCCATTATTCATTAATTTTCTTTACAATAAAACTGAAAAAAAAAATCTGACAGATTAAACTAGCATTTTGTCAGAGGATCCACGAGCATAGGGCAGTTTTACATGTCATATTTGAACTCAAAGTACAGAGAAGTTTCATATTCCATAATGATAAAGTAAGCAAATAAATTCCAGATTTGCCATGGAAACACTGACGTTCATGAATTAACAACAGCTTTTGATCAAACTCTAATCATATATTATTATCCTTTACACCCTAATTCTGCAATGAGACTCCCCTCATTTTGGTAGCCCAACCATACCTCCTTACATGTTCCTGGATTAATCTTTTGAGACTGGGACCTTCATCTTTCTCCTGGATTATAAAGCAGAAAACACACTGTTTACATGATATAAGTAGCAACACATACAATATTTTAGTCACAGCCAAGTATAATTATGGACAGAATATTCTTTCTACTCTAGTAGAAACCTTTCATAGAAAATAATATAAAAGTAGCTGTAGCTATCATAGGCCCCTATTTCTTCTGTAGCTGGAAACCGAGGTTTGGGAACAGGGATGTAGGGGAAAGGTGGGGTGGCTGAGGTACCTGATCTTACAAGATGCTGCATGTCTCCAGTGGGATCCAGTGTTCTCTCAACTCCAATGTTGGTTAGAGTTACAGATGTTCTACACATCACATAAACAGGTCTATAAACTCTGACAGATTTTTGCACATCACTTACCTGAATATGAAAGATACTAAAATTAAATGAGGCAGGATAATTAAGACTGTGCATGCTATAGCACAGACTGAAGGCCATTTCTTGTTACAGCCTGATTTCAATCTGAAAACCACATATGGATCATATGGATCAATAGCATAATATTATCCTAAAATACAGTACAAGGGTTTTCCTTTTTTTTTTTTTTTTTTTAATTTTATACTGCCATACCATGTTTTCCCCAAAAGAGGAGAAAAACAAAAACACACACACACACAAAGAAAAAAAACTAACAAATGAAAACAAAGTAACTTGGAAACATAAGGCTGATGGAGGCAAAATCTATTTTGCCATCCATCCTTATAGTCTTCTTCCTCTATGCACAGCCAAGATCCAGCAAACTTTGGTCATGTCAATAAAACATTTCACAAAGGCTCTCTATGCTTCAAGAGAACATGAATTGAATTTTTAATAAAATGTTAGCCTCAAAGCAATTCAAAAGATTGCATTTTGAAATGACATGGAAAATAGTATCCAAGCAAAAAACTTTCTATAAAGCTGCTCCCCAAATAGCTAACAGAAAACTGGAAACATCACACAAAAGCAGGATTTTCCAAGTAACCTAACACTGCAGTCACATTAAAAGACAGTACTTCAAGAGCAATGAATTACTTAGATGCAAATATTTACCCGAAGTAGCTAGATTGAAGAATGTAAACAGATTCCACAGATATAACGTAATTTGTCAATATCTTTACTGATAGAAATGGAAATGTTAACTCAGGTGACTGATCCTGAAAGATGAGTATAATCAATTACCTTTTCTATCTGTCAGTCATTTACATCATTGCATTGCTTGCAGCTGACTGCCCCCCATCTTTCATTTCTTGTTTCAAGGCACCAAACAACTTTTTCAATACACTTTTTTCTCTCTCTTTTTCACTGTTCTCCTACTTCAGATTAATGCTGCTTGTTTCAGAACTCATCTGTTCTCTTCCTTTATTTCCACAGTATTTCCTGTTTCCCATCTTAGAAAGTTGTCCCTTCTGGTCTCTGAAACACCTTCTTAAATCTCATTTCTCCTCAAGGTCCACAAATTTTAACCATCTCCGAAACAATAAAAAATGATCCAAACTCACTGAAGTCAGTGAGAGACCATCCATTAACTTCAATGGACTATGAATCAGGACCAGATTGCTGTCAATAACTCAGGACTAAAATCTAGTGAAAGAAAAACCAAAAGGATCTGTATGGGCACCTCTGCTGTTAATAGCAGATTGATACTTGAACATAGCCAGAGCAATAGTATGTCTTAGGTTAATATATTTTGTGAATATCTCCAGTACTGTACACATTTCCAGGCCTTATGCAAAGGATTAAGGCCCTAATTTTGTTGTTACCTTTATCTGTACAAATTTGGAGCATTGCCAACGACTTCTGACAGAGCTTGAATAAATACACATCTAGCAAGGTAAACTAAGGAAAATTGCCATGTTCATGAACCAGGTTAGTAAATCATTAAAATACATAAATAAAGATGGACTATTTGGAAAGCACAGAGAAAAGTTTAAAGCCAGTATGTTTTAAATTCTCACTAGTATTGAGAACATACAATGCTATTCTTGCAAGAATCCTCTGTCTAGTACTGTATTATTAATTGGAGAGCTATTTCAAGAAAATGCATTTCAGAATTCAAAATTTACAACATGATTCCACTTCATCCTTCCTGTCTTCATGAACATCCTGTTATTTATTCCCTCTTCCTGCCTCTTCCTACCTCAGTTTTTCAATATATTTTATAAGGGGGAATTAAAACAAGTTACTTTTGCCCACTCTTCCTTCTCCTACCATTTATGTTTTGATTTTTTGTAAGTGCCTTGGTTGTAACATCAGTGTCTTCCTGAAATCTCACAATGCTCCCACCAAGTGCTGTTGAGAACTCACTTGTAACAGATAATTTGGTAGATGTAATGCAGTAAAATTATTAAAATACATAAATATTATGATGATGACTGTTAATGTTATGGAAAAGAGTTACCATTATGACAATAATTATCACCAATATAAAGCTAAAATATTACACATTTAATAAAGGGTATGTTGTGATTTGAGGTTATTTCAGCAGTAGGTTAACATTGATGGCAATACACTTCTGATAAAATGTTTAGTCCGTATTGTAGTAACCATGATACTTTACAGTAAGAAGGGAAATAAAAGTTACACTGCATATTACAGCATAACTTTGCCAAGTTATGTATCAGCAAAACATAGTCTGTTAGATGACCTTCACTAAGGAGGTATATATACATATATTTATGCTTGCACTTTTATTAAGGTGAACTACACTCCACCTTCACAGCTTCAACTATGGGAGGTAAAACCTTTGTAGAAAATAAATTACTGTTGCAACAATGACATTGTTTAATACAAAAAGGAGCCAGGACACAGTACACTGATAGGGGGTAGCGTGTATTTTATACACAGAAGAAGGATGTTACTTCTATTATGCCATCTGACATTGACACGGGAAGAAGGGGAAAAAAAAACATTTGTTTTTCCCCAAGTACTGAAACATGCAAAGACAAATTGCTTATTATAACTTTTACAGAGTAAGAGTAATAAAAATAGAATGGACAGATTTAGAAATGCCCTAGTATACTTTAGATTTTATGTATATTTAATATTTTGATCTTTTACTTCAGAACTGAAGAAGTAAACAGTGGGAGAATAAGATCTGAAATACAATCAACGCATTGCTCACATCACATTAAAAAGGCATCTTTTAAATGCAGCTGTGGATTTCTAAACTTAGACTGAATAGGATTTTTAGTTGCTTGGAATTTGAAATGCAAAATGAACTTGGCCATGTTACATCTATTTTCTTTAAGTGGAATTGTAAATATGTGATAAGTTTCTGTTTGAAAGAGGCAACATGCAGAATTCAAGCCTATTTGTTTCTTGTAGGATCCGGCTGACCTGTGCATGAAGAGGTATCGAGGCAGTGGTGCAATAAGAATCACTACAGTGATACAAATCCACAGCTTAAACATGAGATCCTAGAGGCTGAATCTCTGAGGAGAAACACTGAGTATACTGTCCTCCAAAATACACCAACCAATGAAGGTAATTTCAAGAAAACAACTGCTAACCAACTTTTACCTGAATAAAGGAGAGGGGAAGAGTTTTAAACAGCTTGCTTATGTATCATGATGACATTTAGCAGAGAAAAGACGACAAGTATTTTAAATGTAATCAATTTCAACCAGAAATATGAAAACATTTTCCCTCATTAGGATCTTGCTAGAGTTGTCTGGGACAAAATCTGGGTTGCAACTACGGGCTGAAACAACAGTGTCAAGAAACAAAACAAATAGGCATTTACAGCCCCCCACCCTCCACCCCCTTCAGCTAGCAAAGTATGACTGATGCTTTTGGTTGACTGCAAGGCAAATGTTAGCTAAAATTTTGTTTAGCTAAATCCACATCCATGGCCCCCAATATTTAAAACTCATCATGGATTAAAGCCATGAAATAAAAATTAAAAAAATTTCAATTTGAAATTTTATTAGCATGTTGCTAGAATGGTCAACATCGATCGACAGTAGAGACTTTGTCCACATACTCTGCAAACAGCTTTCGTGCACCTCCCCCCCTCTTCTTCCTCTCCCTCTTGCACTCTTTCAGCATTAATGCTACTAAAAGCCAAACAAAATACTGGCTATGGGTGTAAAGAATGCTGGTTTTTTGGAATGTCGCCATGGATCTTGCTTCCAGTCGCATCCCGTGGAAAGAGGGTGCAGCCTACTGTCTCAGTGGCAGGCTGGTCTCCCCGGACAGGAGAGAAGGAAGAGATAGCCATGTACCCCCTGCTGCTCGCTATTCTTTCTCATCCACTATAGCCAGGTCTTTGATCACCCTCAGTTTGCCACTGGCATCGATCCTGCGCTTCTCGCGTATTAGATCCTCCAGGCTGTGGAACCTCACTGTGTGCACCTTGTTCTCTGCCAAGTGAATCTTCAGATAGTATTGCTGCTGGTGCTGGGTGCCGGCAGCAGCCTGCAGCTCCCCCCCGGCTTTGAACTCCCTTTTCCCGAAGCGGCACCAGGCGGCGAAGCTCTCGGAGTTAGTCCAGCAGATCTCGTCGCTTTTTAAGCCCAGGTGCCCGCAGGCGTTTTGCACCACCAGCTCAGCCACCAGCGGGCGAAAACGGTACCAGCTATTCACCACCCGGCCCACGTTGCCCGCGGCCGCCTCGTACAAGCTGTCCTGGCGGATCTGCCCCTGGTGCAAGTGGATGATCTGCCCGCTGCCCACGTACACTGCCCAGTGCGGCGGGGGATGCTCCGACGGCCCCAGGTACAGCAGCTCCAGCAGGTCCCCCGGTTTGCAGAGGGCAGGCAGCGCTGACACCGAGTAGACGCTGAGGTCCCCAGCCTGGGGGCCGCTGCTGACCTTGGAGAAGATGCATTCCTGGCCGCGGAAAGCGGAGAACTGGGTCTCGTTCAGCACCAGCTGGTGGTGGAGGTGGTGGGTAGGCGTCTCCTGGCCAGGGCTGCCGGAGCCCTTCACGCTGTACTTGTCTGGCTGGCCTCGCTCGTCCAGGTCCTCCTCCTCATCCGAAAAGAAGTAAGCCACCCCGACGCGCAGCTCGTCTTTCTCGATCCCCGAGGGGTCCCCGGTCGGCAGCTCGCTGTAATTCAGGTGGGTGATGCGATCCAGTTGATTTCCCATCAATGACAGGGCGAGGCGAGGGCAGGAATTGCCGGATCTGGAGGAAGGGTGGAGTGGGCAGGGACAGAGAGAACAAGAGAGGGGAAGGAGGGCGCAAACGGAGGGAAGGAAAAGGAGAAAAAAAAAATCAAGACAAACACAAAAGATCTCAGCGATTCCTTATCCCTCCCCCGCTCCATCCCTCCCCTCTGTGCAGAGGGGGGCGGGAAAACTCCCGGTGTGGATTCTTCCCTCTTGCCCTAGGGGTGCAGGGCACAGCCCCGGCTCCGCGGCGCTCTCCGGGCGGTGCTGCCCGAGCCCCGCGGTCCCGGAGCTACCGGGCCCGGGTCCCGCTGCTGCCGAGAGTAGCAGGCAGCTCCTCGCCTCCCCCCAGCTCAGCCCGGGAAACGGAGCTGCCCCGGGATCCTCCGCAAGGGAAGGGGCTGCCCCGAGGGTCCCGAGCCTGCTCGCAGCTGAGCAGTACTACAGAAGAGCAGGCGTCTGGCTCTCCGAGAAAAAAATAAAGAATAATCAGATAAAGAATAATACCCCCCGCCCCCAAAGAGCCTCTCTCTCTCCCCTTCGTACCCGTGGTCTCCCAGCTCCAGAACACCCCCCCGAAGAAAAAAAAAAAAAAAAAACTCCTCTAAAGTCGTCCTGTCCCCATGGGCGCCGCAGAGGAGGTGAGCTCCGTCCTCCCCGCTGAGCGCCCGACTCCTCCGCCCGCTCCTCCCCGCTCGGCTATGGGCTGCCCGGCCCCTCCGGCGAGCCTAAGTACCGGCGGCGCCGCTCCCGAGCCCGCCCCGGCCCCGCTCATTGGCCGCGGCCGCGCCGCGCCCGGTGGCGGCGGTACCGGTACCACCGGTACCGGGGATCGGTGGAGGCGCTGCCCGGCCGGGCGCCGCCGGCCCTGGGGCTGCGGCACCGAGAGGAGGCTCGGTACCGGGGGGAGGAGGGCCTTGTTGGAGGGGAAGGGGTTCAGAGAGAGTGCCCCACCGCCGCTGCAAAGGAGAAATATACATATATCTATTTCTATAATAAGGAAGATGGCTTTGCTGGAGGGTCGCGCGTGTCCAAGACTTACCGCATCCCTCAAGGGAGGAGATCAGATTCCTCTCACCCAACTTTAGACACCTCAAGTCGTACCTGTGTAATTTAAGTCCCCCCTGCTCAAGGGAGGCTGGCGTTTCCAAAGGGCTGTTCCTCACGCTTATTTCTCAGCCTGTTTAGGAAGGGGTGAATTGCCCTAAGGAGGTGTCTCGCCATCGCCTAGACGGGATATTGAAATGCTGAGACGGTGTTAGGTAAGGTGACTCCACCTGTGGTTGTCTTTGTGCACCTGGCTGCAGCAGCAGTAGTGGGTTGTCCTCAGAACTGACTAGAAGACGTGCTGTGGCATGCCTTACGTAAAATATCAGACTGCCTGAAGGTAGCAGTCCATCCCTTCCTAAAATATATGAAATCCAAAATCTGTCTATAGTGGTTAATGCCAATACTCACTTTTACACATAAAGTTGCACATTATGTAAACAAAGCTCGAGAATGATTAGTTGATTTGACCACAGTTTGCCTGTAGGGTTGTGTTAGTGATGGGATTGTAGCCTAGTTCTTCCAAGTGCTCTAATCACGAAAACTTCTCAGAAATAAGAACCTAAATATTTTAAAGTGCTCCATGAAAAAAAAATCGAATGTAATTATTAGATTCATATGTGAATCATATTAAAGCACCATTTTTATCTAGAAGTAGATTTACCACTTTCTTCACAGTGGAAATAGGTTTGTCATACAGAGATAAGTATTTCTGCTAACAGTGCTTCTCAATACTATCCATCTTCACTTCTGACTCCCTGTCTTAGACTTGCAGTCCAGTCTTTGGCCTCGATTAACTGAGAACAGTAATGCCAACAGTTTATTCTCATGATAGAGAGGCATACACCTTTAAATAAATATAGTGATTTCCTGTTTTTCATGGTACAGCTTGCATAGTTAAGTTTGTATAGGTCAAATGCTGGTTTTCTTAAACATGTGTTTACTTTGAATGAGCCATTTCTTTTCCATTCAAACATCATTCAAACATTTATATGACTATCTTTCAAGAACATTTTTTTTTTCTCATTATTGTTTTTTTTTTTTTTAACATATTCAAAGACATCAGAACACACGTGGAAAAGAAATAAAGGTCTGTTCTGTAGTATGACATTCTAAGACTGACACAACTGTATGAATTTTTCACTGTGGCAATTACACGATTCTGTTGATGGTTAAAGATTTCTCATGTCTCATAAATGCTGGGGCTACAGCCTCAGACTCATTGGAGTCTGTAAACTTCTGGTTTACAGCAGTTAAAGATGCAGCATTCAGGGGTCTGTAGAACTACAAAGTGAATTTGAAAGAAAAACGTACATAGAAGAAAAGGATTCTACCTGAAGATATGCATTTGAAAGTTTCACGGGGCTAAACATAACAGATAGATGTTAAAAATCTCTGAAACTGAAGCTTTTCTAATGATTGTCAGAAATTATATGTTCTTTTATGGCATGACCTTCATCAATTGCAACTTTTAAATTAAGTTATGAAAACACTCTAATAGGTTTACAGTTTAGGCTGTAAAGCAGATATTTATATATATATATATATATTTATAATAGTCAATGTGCTTCATTGTTAAATCTAGTCTAAGCTGAAGGCATTTTCCACAGTTACATCTTTTATCAGCAATTTCTGTTTTCTAAACAGTTTATATATATTTTTTTTCCTGTTGAAAGTCTGCATCTTCTTAGGTTGTGCTCACACAATTCACACTTCCCACATTTGCCAATCATCAAGGCTATGTGGAGTAATTTTTAGACAGTTCTAAACAAACAATACATTATTTCATCTTTTCCATGCAAAATAGTGGAGAACAGATTGCTTCATTAACCTGCATAGTGCAGAAAGAAGGAGTCTGGGTCTAAGGAAGGATCTGCACTTCTAACCAGGTGGAATAGCTCCTGCCAAATTTTAACCATTTTCTGTGTTTCCCATGCCTTTGCAAATCTGCTCAAAGAGTGTATCCCATCTCTTGTGGAAGCACTTGCAATCCAGTACAATCCACATCTCTCCATGACCTCTATTCAGCACACCTTCAACACCCATTTTCTCATTACATTTCAATTCCGTCTGTACAATCTGTCTCATCAGTGCTTCATGCTCTTCCTCTGTCCCTCAAGAAGGATTTTTTTTTTCTCAGTTTCTCTCCAATCCCAATTTTAAATTATGCAAAGTGTTAAGAATATGCTATAAAACAAAACAAAAACCAGTATAAACATAGTTATATAAAATTGTCATTAAAGGGCACTACAGAAAAATCACAGAAAATATGTAAACCAACAGCTTGAAATAATTCTCTCAGTTTGAAGGCTTCTGTTAATGTTAAATGATGTTACAACAGGAGTACACAGTGTCCACAGAAGTGAATTGTCATAGCCTACTGGGAATGCTTGAGTTATTTTGATTAATATATTTATCATCCCCTTTAGGCATTTTAGTTTGGGGAGTTCATGGACGCTTATTTAGCATGGCAGTTAGTGTAGGGTTCGCTGCTCTCAGACTATGGCACTAGCAGTGCAGTGTTATGCTGCTCACACTTGTGTTCACCAGCTTCAGTCTCATTAACCAGGGTCATAACTTCATCTTGCACTAGGACATGGGAACTTGCCATTAGTCCATTGTTATTAAAGCTATTTTTATTTTTTTTTCCCTTAGACTAGACATAGCAAAGAAACCTGATATCATCAGCACTGGCTTTATCTTTGTCTACTCCAAAGCAATGAACTTACATTTTTAATTGCTATTTTTTCCTTTTGTGCCTTTTTCCATCCTCGGTATTTTGTCAGTTTTGCATGTATATTTAATTTAATACAGTGAAAACTCTTTTCAAATATCTAACAAAATAGATGCCCAGTAGCTTATTTTTCAAAACTTGTTTTTTAAATGTTCTCATCATCTTGCCTTGAGCTAAGCTTTGGAGCCTTGGGCCTCTGTTGCTAAAAATGGAGCTGAAACCTCTCTTAATTTGAATGAGAACATTTGTACAGAAAAAATTTGGGAATGCATGTTTCTGTAAATAACCAGAGATAAAAAAATTCATGACAAGGGTGGGAACTTGCCTATGTATTATAAAATTTTTCTAGATCACAGAAATATGTCCATTGCAGTTCTGGTAATATTGAATCTCAGATGTCCAGAAACTCATCTCTATTTCAGATTGCCATCTGGTCTGTACATAGCCACTTTGACATAACAGGTACTAGGAAGGATCTTATTCACCTGAAACTCTCTAAAACGATGTACTCCAGCTGTAGATCAACTATACATTCAAATTATTTTCCCCCATTATACCTTCTTTACAATCTTGGTATACCTAAGGCATCAGAGACATAAGATGTTAGTACTTTGAGAAACCTGGGATCTGGACCATAACTGGTGTAGATGGTAGAGTAGCTCTTTTTGCAAATAGCTTTGCACACAAATTGCCCACATACCAAGGCAAGGCCAAAGTACTCAGTTTTGGGACAATTAGGTAAAAGTGTGTCCTTCCAGTCCTATAACAGGAATGACACTTTTTCTACAGCTATCTAGTTTAGAAATCTACAGGGATTATGATCCTGATTTTGGAGAGCTTCTATATTTTTTGTCCAAAAATGGTGAAATATAAAATGTCAAAATTTACTAAAGAAAACTACGGCCACAGATTTTCCCTTTGCCTCTTTTCTGCTCTTTTATGGACTTTGCTGGCTTTGTGATTTTTTTTTTATTTTTATTTTTTCATTCACAAAGCCACTTTTTATAAGTAAAATTGGCTAGGGGCTGTTCTCTGGCCATGAAGGATATTATAACCGTATACCTGCTCAGCTGAACTCTATAAACTCCGAAACTGGGTAGCTGAATCCAAGCCTATTAAGAATTATTCTGAACCCATTTTAATCCCTGCACTGTATGGAAGAATAGTAGCTGGCCTCTGCCAAAGCCTTTGAAGAGGCCACACTACCAATTTAATAGTATGAGTAATATTGTGCCAATCGTTGGCCCTGTGACCTGGCCCTTTGTAGCCAACTATTCGCACTTAATTCATCTTCTGAAGGCACAGCCAATTGTATTTTTTTGTCAAGTATAACCTGTAAAGACCTCCAAATTAATTTCTGCTTCCGGATCAATTGACACAACCGTAAAGGATATTCTAGGAAAGATTTTGTAGAAAGGTAGGGAGACTGTTTTCTAAAATGTACTTATCTCTGGAAGACAGGATGCTGTGGACAGGATTCCACACAGGGAAGCCTTGTCCTCTTCTGCTTCCAGGGTGTCCTGGTCTCAGCTGTGACAGTTAAAATTCCTCCTAGTAGCTGGAATGATGCTGTGATTTGGATTTAGGATGAAAATAATGCTGATACAACACTGATGGTTTAGTTGCAGAGCAGTGCTTACTCAAAGCCAAGGCCTTTTCAGCTTCTGATGCTGCCCTGCCAACAAGGATGTTGGGTGTGCACAACGAGCTGATGGGGACACAGCTAGGACAACTGAGAAAATGGCCAAAGGATATCCTATACCATTTGGTGTCATGTTGAACAGTAAAACTGTAGAGAGTTGGCTGGGGGCAGAGGCACTGCTCATGGACCATTTGGGCATTGGTCAGCCAGTGGTGAGCATTGTGCATCACTTGCTTTGTATATTCTTTTAACATTGTTATCATTATTGTTATATTTTATTTTTT